ATGGATGTAGATAGATAGATAGATAGATAGATAGATAGATAGATAGATAGATACATAGATACATAGATACATAGATACATAGATAGATACATAGACAGATACATAGACAGATAGATAGATACACACACACACATTCCATTTCAACCGTGCGTCGATTAGGTACATATTCATGTGCTTACAATTTATAATTAATACTTTCCTTATCAATATAACACTACAACAATAATCACATTTTCATATGAATAATATCCAGTGTATCTGTTTTACAGTGTATCTTCTCTCATTGCTTTATATATACATCTAATCCATTTTAATTTATTTTATTTTCTAACCATTGGTAAAATAAATCCCATACCATATAATACTCAGATTCTTCTTTTTCTTTAATTTCCAACGTTAACCTATTCGTTTCTGGCACATTCAAATTTTTTTTTTTCAATAACTTTTCCCTTTATTTATCTTGTCACTTTTCCAATTCTGAGCAAATACAATTCTAGCTGCTGTTAATACATGTACGATTAATTAAAGTCTTTTCTTTACTATAACCTTCAGGTAATATTTCAGGTTTCAAATCTATATGTTGCTTAATCATTTTTTTTCCAACCATGCGTACTTACTAAATTTATACGCCACGTGTCTCCCTTTCAAATCCCACCTTCCGCTCACTTGACTTTGGGCAGTTTACAGTGTCAAAGTAAAATAAATAAGAATTTGAGTGTTAAAAAACAGGACCCCCACAATGCAATGGGCCCCGCCCCACCCCCTTACCTGCACTGCGCATGCCTGCCAGCCGATTTTCGGCCCGTTTGAGGCCGTTTTCATCCTCCCGGAGACTCAAGGGGAAGCCTCTGCAGACTTTGGAGGCCGAAAAACAGGCCCGTTTTCAACACTCCTGGTATTTCCAGCAGGCCCGTTTTTCGGCCTCCCGAGGCCGCAGAGGCTTCCCCTTGAGTCTCCGGGAGGACGAAAACGGCCTCAGACGGGCCGAAAACCAGCTGGAGGCACGCGCATGCACAGTGCAGGTAAGTTTGGGTGGGGCTTGCGTGCCCGCACAAACGGCTCTGCGTGCTACAGGTTCGCCATCACGGCTCTAGAGCATCGCTCCGTTTTCCCTGGCAGAGGCCCCACGGTCCGGTCCTTTGCTGTTTTCAAGGCCAGATCTAAGCACCCCTGACCTAGACAAAAAGGACTCAGTTCACAAACAAAGTGGAGATGGCATCTTCGGATCTAACTAACCACTTCCAAAATGGGGCACTCCCATTAGAACGCCAAGCCAGTTGGCAGAGCCCTTCTAAGAAAGCCAGGAAGGTGCGGGGAACAGATCTGACGTCAAGGGGCCTTGGAGGCGCCAAGCCGAACCAGGCAGAGAGCTAAGTCCCATCCAGATGCCAATGGGAAGAGGCCTGCGTAAACGGCACGAGACGCCAAAACAGCTCAGTTGAACTCTCCGCTTGTGGCTCTGGCTGCTGGCGCCTAACGTCGCGTCTTTCGTTTGCTTTTTAGGATGGCCCCCGAAGTGATCCTGGCCATGGACGAAGGGCAGTACGACGGTAAAGTTGACGTGTGGTCTCTTGGGATCACCTGCATTGAATTAGGTGAGCCCCCTGCGGGGGTCTTCTTCGGTCTCTGCTACCTGCTGCTTTACGCACCAGCCCTCAGCGGGCACCCAGGGATCCACAACCGCTGCGCGCCGTTTAAAAGAGATCCTCCATAACTCAAAAAGGAAACAAAAGGGCCCCAACCCCCCCCCCCCACTAGCACCCAACACCCAGATAAGCAGAGAACAACCCTAAGATTAACACTAGACCCAAGTAACCAAGCTGTAAACAACACCCCAGTCAAGGAGCCACCAAGAACTCTCCCATTGACAATGATAAGGCAAGCCACGTATATAAAGTGAGAGCAAACCCTACTCCCTACTGACACTGATGCTGTTACCCAGTTGGGTCATGAAATGTCCACAAGAAAACAAATACACTCAGAAAGGCTAGAGGATCTCACAGTCGCCATCCTCCACATCCCTCCCTCCCTCCCTCCCTCCTTCCCTTTTTTGTGTTAAAGTGGTATGCAGCCCATCTCTCTCCACCAAGCGCATGTTCAGCTTAAGGTAAAGGTTCCCCTCGTACATGCATGCTAGTGGTTTCCAGCTCTAGGGTGTGGTTGCTCATCTCCGTTGCAAAGCCGAAGAAGAGCCAGGCGCTGTCCGAAGACGTCTTTGTGACCATGTGGCCGGCAGGACTAAACGCTGCCCAAAGCGCACGGAGCGCTGTTCCCTTCCCACCAAAGGGGTCTCTGTTTTTCTATTTACATTCTTTTTTTTGCATGCTTTCAAACTGCTTGGTTGGCAGAAGCTGGGAGAAGGAACGGGAGCTCACTCAGTTATGCAGCGCTAGGGATTCGAATATATATAAATATAAACAGACAGCGGTGGGATCAAAACATCAGACCTTAAAACAGGGATGTCAAACTCAAGGCCCGTGGTCTGAATCCGGCCTGTGGGATGTTTAAAACTGGCCCGCAGGGCCACCCTGGAAACAGTGAAGGACCTGTCTGCAGTGCCTCTGACAGGCCCTCCTGAGCTCCATTTTTGCTGGCGGAGGATTGCAGGAGGCCGTCCCAGCCGAAAATGAAACTCGGGACCCCCTGGCCACATCCCCAAGGTCAAAACACAACCCTGATGCACCCTGTTGTGACCCACCAGTGGCTCGCGGAGCTGGCAGCTGAGTCAGACAGTAGCAAGGAGGTTGGGGAGGAACCTGGGCCTTTCCTGAAGGCTGAAGAAGGCTCGGACAAGGGCTCTGTGTCCGAGGCAGAGATGGGGCTAGGGTGGGCTGGCAGTCATCAGCTGCCTTCAGGCTCGGACAGCAGTGGGAGCTTCTGGAACCGAGAGGTCGTCCGAGCCTTCCTCACCCTCCAGGATTGGCCCAGGTTCCTCCCCAACCTCCTCGCTTTTGGACTCTGCTGCCAGCTCCGGCAGGCCACAACACAGCCCTGAATGAAGTCAAGTTTGACACCCCTGCCTTGAAAGGTAGGCCGTTAAAATTAATACTAAAGCGGATAAGATCTCACCTTATCTCACCTTCCGTCATGCCCCTGTTGGAGTCTGATTCCGAGGGGGAGGTTGAGCAGCTGACAGGGAGTGGGAGTGTGGCTCCGGTGGCTGTGGAAGAAACGGGGGAAGGGCAAAGTCCAGCTGGGCAGTCAGAGGAAGACCCAGGCCCATCCCCTCTTCATCCTAGGGAACGCAGGGAGGAACAGATAAGGGAGCAACATGGCTTATTGGGAGAGAAAGGGGCCCTGATCCCTTTCATTAATTGCAGCCGGGAGAACAGGATATAAGTGGGGCGTTTGCACACAGCTGCTTGCTGGAAGCAAAGCGTGCATTATCATTGTTGAGGCTTATCTGGGTTTTGGCGTCCTGCAATTGATCATCCTGGCCTGTCGTGTTAATTACTTCAGCATGGTTTGTGTTGTTGTTTTTATTTCTAATTATCTTTACTTTGGGTTCGGAGTGCATTTCTGCCCTTCGTAGACTGTTTTTGGAAGAGTTTGTTATCCAGCCGAGGATAATTGGACCTTGGGGCCCCAGTTGGAGGCATTAAAGAGAATTTATTTTACTTTTGTGATTTTGTTATTTTTGTCTCACGCCCCTTTGGGTCATCACACCTTCATCCTCTAAATTGGGGGTCCTTAACACACACACACACACACCCCGGGGCTATGGACTGGTACCGATCTGCATCCCATTGGGAACTGGGCCGCGTAAGCGACGGGCGAGCATGCCAATCCCCATTTCCCCACACGTGGGATTAGGTCGCCTGTGCGAAACCATCCCCCTCCCCATCCAACCCGCCTTTACCACGGCCAATCCATGGAGCCACAGAAAAGTTGGGGGCCACAACTCTTAATCGTTCACGGCCCACAGATCTATTTGGCACAACAGCCTGTTTTAAGACGGGGCAGTTTTCTGTGCTGGGGGCCAAAGTGGGGAGACTTGGCAGTGGAGGCGATTGCGTTTGTGGGTCTTTCTCATCCCCCCCCCCCCGGGGTCTTAGGGACAGGAGGGGGGAGCAATGGGGGCGAGAGAGGAGGCGTCCCCAGCAGAGTCTAAAACCCGCCCTTTTCTCTTTCGCACAGCGGAACGGAAGCCTCCGTTGTTTAACATGAACGCCATGAGTGCCTTATATCACATAGCGCAGAATGAATCCCCCCTCCTCCAGTCCAGCGAGTGGTGAGTCGGGGCGGGTCTCGGAGGAGGGAGTTGGCAGAGGTTGGGGACTGAGCTGAGCCCTTGGGGGGAGCAGCCCCCTCAGATTGGCTGGCTTATCTGTCTATCATCATCGTGCCTACCTACCTGCCTACCTATCCTCTCTCTCTAACATATAGCTGTCTATATATGTCATATCTCTTCTGTCTGTCTCTAAGGTATGTCATCTATCTGTCCATATACACCATCTACCATTATTTATCTATATCTGTCAATCAATTTATCATCTATATTTGTATATACATTGTCTATCCATCTGTCCACCTACCTACCTATCTCTGTCCATCCATCCACCTACCCACCTATCTACATATCTCTGTCTGTCAATCCATCTATCATCCATCCATCCATCTACCCACCTACCTATCACTGTCTCTCCATCCACCTATCTACCTACCTACCTACCTCTGTATATCCATCCACCCACCCACCCACCTACCTACTTACCTATCTATCCATCCACCTATCCACTTACCTACCTACCTATCTCTGTCTCTATCCATCCACCCACTCACCTACCTACCTACCTATCTTTGACTCTGTCTGTCTATCCATTCACCTACTCACCTACCTACCTATTTCTGTCTGTCTATCCTTATCTATCATCTGTCACTCTCTGTCATCTATGAATCAACCTGTCAATAGACCGTGGGTTCTAGTTCTGCCTTTGCCACGAAAGCCCCCCTGGGGGACTCACTCTCTCTCTCTCTCTCTCTCTCTCTATCTATCTATCTATCTATCTATCTATCTATCTATCTATCATCTACCTATGTATCAATCCATCTACTGTCTGTCTGTTTATCATGGCCTTCCTGGCTTCTGAGCGTAGTCTTTCCTTCTCCAGCTTTCCCCACACTTCTAAATGGGGCAAAAAAAAACCCATCCCCTCCTTCTCTAGTGTCACCGCACCCTCGTTGGTTAAAAAAAAAGCTGTAGAAATCCCTAGAGAAAAATGAAGTTGAGGGCCGAAGCCTGATTTAAATCATTTTTTCTTCCCCCCCCCCCCCCCCCAATCCCTTCCCTCTGCAGGTCTGATTATTTCCGAAACTTTGTAGATTCCTGTCTCCAGAAAATCCCCCAAGACAGACCAACGTCCGAGGAGCTCCTGAAGGTTGGTCCAGCCTTGGTCCCTCCCCTTCAAGGGCATGTTTCCCCCAAAATAAGACCTAGTTTTCTGACCGAGGCTTCCTGAGACCGTAATTAAGCACACGCTTAGTCCAAACAACCCTTGTTTTATTTCAACGGCTGGGAATTATGTTCCTTCCCAGCCCATAATGACTCCCAAACAGTTCCTCAAGATAAGCACCCACCTTTCTCTCCTTTGAATTGCTGCCAACAACTAAAGTGCCAAATGAATTATAAAAAAACAACCGAAGTACAAAGTCCACATAGAGTTTCAAGGATTAATCTGAAGAGAACGAACAACTTTGCTTCCTGCAAAGGTTTCTCTACCTTTGCCTGTCCTTTATCCCTTATGGGAGGGGCAATCACCTCCCAGCCTTACTCCGTTGTCTCCTCTTTTGTCTCAGCTGCTCTCGCCTTCTGGCAGCTCTGCGCACATGCGCACTGGGAACAGGCTCCCCTTGTTCCTCTACCTCGCTGCTGCCAGACTCTGGAGGCTCCGAAGGCAGCCCCCCACTCCCCGATGTCCCTGGTCCCATCCCTGCATCGGACGCAGAACCCTCTGAGTCCTCCCCAGACTCCCGGACTGGTCCCCATTCTTCCCGCCTGTCCAATTCCGCTGCCGTCTGCACAGGCTGCCAGCGAACCACAACACCTAGCACGTTTTTTTTGCAAGCGAGCCTAATATAAGCCCCCCCCCCAAAAATAAGCCCTATTTAAGCCTCTGCACAGCCGCCCATTTTGTGTGGTTGCTCGCGGTGCCACCAATACGAGGTGAGGTGGGTGGAGCTGCCCCACACGTACACCGGCATACCTCAGCCGGGCCATCCACGCCCCGACAACTGCCTCACGGCGACAGCACCAGCGGTCACGTGCATCAGGAGCTGGCATGGCCGCCGGCCCATCGCTTCGGCTTTGCTCACAGGAGCAGGAGGCCGAACGACGCGCCGGTGCTCCAGTCGCGAAGCGAGGAAGTTGCCAGGGCATGGATGGCGTGGCTCCGTGGGGCAGCTCTCCACCCTCTCCCCACCTGCCTCATGGCCACGACACCAACATATCGCTGGGCCTCCCACATATGGGGAACAAAAATAAGAAACCTCCCCCCCAAAAAAGCCCTAGTGCTTATTTTGGGGGCCCAAAAGAAAATAAAACCGGGTCTTATTTTCGGGGAAACCAGGTAGTTGTGGGAGGTTCTCTCTCTTGTTCTGGCTTTTACATCCCTTGTTCTCTGACCAAATCCAAGCCCACCTCTGGAACTCGGGGTCTGCGTTATAGCTTTCCCCGGTTTTCTATTGTGTCTTTCGACCCTGAATGCATCCTTGGCGTGTGTCAGTCTGTGCTCCATTCAAAATCCAAGAAAGAAATACTTAGACTCCATAGATTAGAGGAAAGAAATCTTTTACTGAAAATTGAAGTGGAAGCTACAGGTTGAATTCTGAATCTAAGAAATTAGGCGCGCAGATCACATATACAAAGGGATGGAATTGTTCCCCCCACCCCCACCCCAAAGTTCAAAAGATGGTTCCAATCAAAAGTTCTGGATATGGTCATGTGGGCATCTTCAGGTGGTGATGAGGCCTCTGTCCGTTGACCTTGACATATTTTGATAAAGATTTGCAGTTGCGCAGAGAAAAGAAGGCTAAGAAAGGAATAGAAACTTAAGAGCAGGAATTTATACTCCCCCCCCACCACCACTCCTCATTTATACAACCCAAGAATGTAACACCCCCAGCTCTCTTCCCAGACATTACCCCTCCCCCCCGTTACTTATGGCAGCCGAAAGATGCAAAGCAATAGAAAAGATCTTGGAGGCTGACAGTGTGCCTCGGTTTCCCAGACCTCCCCTCCCTAACAGATCTGGGAGGATGAGAGGCCCATTCCATCCCACAATGCCAGCTTGGGCTGTTCCAGGAGAGAAAGGGTGCAGGTAGTCCTCCACTTACGACCACAATTTGAGTCCCAAGTGCCCGTTGCTAAGCAAGACAGCCGTTCAGCGACTTTTGTCCCATTGGATAACCGGTTTTCACATTTATGACCGTCGCAGCAGCATCCTCCTGGTCACGTGATCAAAGCTGGGGCACGTGGCAACCAAACCGTGTTTACGACGGTTGCAGTTCCACGATCTCTTTTTGCGACCTTCAATTAACAACCGTGTTATTAACAACTGCAATAATTCAGTTAGCAACTGGAGGGCAGGAAAGGTCGTTAAAACAAGGCAAAGCTCACTCAGCAACTGTCTTGCTCAGCAACAGAAACTTCATTTTGATTGTAAGTCAAGGACCAGGGCATCCCACTGCCAACTCCTAAAATATTTCTATGGCCTTTATAGAGTTGCCATAACAGAAAGGGAGGGGGAAAGGGGTTTGAAAGAGCAGCGTGGCAGCTTGCAAACCAAAAGTGCATTCCATAAATGTTTTTTTCAAAGATAGTAACTAGGTGACCGAAGTTTCTGCCTTGTAAAATTCTAACTGGAGAACATGATCGATGACTCTGGGCTATGGAGGTGTCCCATTGGAGAATATGAATGACGATAGAGGAGAATATGAATGACGATAGAGGATAGAGGAGGGGGGGGGGGGAAACCAGGGTCAAGGGTGACAGCGAATGACGTGCCTCAGAGTCGGCTGCACCCAGGCAGTGCCGGACATGTTCACTCCCAATCAATCCTTTGGAAGTGCTGGAAGTTTGGCTCGAGACTCAGGATTGAAATGGGGTGAAGTGCCGGAATCCTGACCCCCCCACACACACCGTTTCAGGATTCCGGATCTAGGATCTCCCTGGGACTTGGTTCCACTCTGGGTAGCCTTGGGGAGAGGGCTAACCCTGATTGGCTTTCCTTGTGCCCTGCATCGCAGCACGTCTTTGTGGTTCGAGACCGCCCGGAAACCGTATTAATAGACCTAATACAGAGAACCAAGGACGCCGTGAGAGAGCTGGACAACCTCCAGTACCGCAAAATGAAGAAGCTCCTCTTCCAGGAGGCCCACAACGGACCAGCAGTGGAAGCCCAGGAGGAGGAAGAGGTAGGAGGGGACGATGGGCTCTGGG